AACCATAGTCCCCTCCAATGCGCTGTTCCGTACTCCAGAGCCAGGTCTAATGTGCTGAACCTTAATCCAGAGCCAGGTCTAATGTGCTGAATCCTAATTCAGAGCCAGGTCTAATGTGCACAACCCTAATTCAGAGCCAGGTCTAATGTGCACAGCCCTAATCCAGAGTCACGTCTAAGGGGGAGCTCTCCCTACTGACCACAAATCTAATGGGACATCCATTTGACTGACCACCAAGGTAATGGGACCCTTCTTTCACTGAGTCTCCAAATGGCCATCAATGTAAGGAGGAGTATCCATTCCACAGACCACCACATATGAGGGGGTTCTTCTCCTACTGATCACCAGTCTGAGAGAGTCAGTTCCCACTGATAATGTAAGGAACATTCCACTGACTACCAATACAATAGAACCATTCGTTCACTAAATGACAACCGGTGTAAGGCGGTCCTTCTCCTACTGATCACCAGTCTAACAGGGTCCTTTCACACTGACCACCAATGTAAGGGACCCTTCCACTAACATCCAATGTAAGGGACCATTCCACTGACCACCAATGTAAGGGGGTCTTTATCCGAATAAGAAGACTTCCCATTCACCTACTATGGATAAAATAATACCAAATGTGTTCCTTTTATCAGTGTGTGATAAATCTGGAGAAGAGCCAACTGGAGGTGGGGAGATCAGATAAAGAGGTCATCCCGTTTATTGCCAGCAGAAGCACCGCTAAAGAGGAGCAGTAAGTATTATACATTGTACATGTCCGGGGTGTCCTTATAGTTATAGTATGTACTGGATACATGAAGTATGTATTCATGTATCCAGTATATAGATTCTGTCAGAGTTCTCTAACTTCTAATTACAGGGCCAATGTAACATATTATTCCATATCTGTTTAGATGTAAACCTTCACTTAATGATTCAGATCTCTCTCCTTTCTCTCCTCTCTCTTGTATACCCCCTCTCTCCCCCCTCTGTATCTCTCTCCCCTTTTCTCTCTCTCTCCTCTTCTCTCTCCTCTCTCCCCTCTTCTCTCTCTCTTGTATGCCCCCCCTCTCTATTTCTCTCCCCTCCTCTCTCTCTCTTCTCTCTCTCTCCTCTCTCTTATCTCCCCCCTCTTCTCTCCCCACTCTTCTCTCTCTCTCTTGTATCCCCCCCCCTCTCTCTCCCCTCTCTCTCTCTCTCTCTCTTGTATGCCCCCCCCTCTATTTCTCTCCCCTCCTCTCTCTCTCCTCTTCTCTCTCTCTTCTCTCTCTTTCCTCTCTCTTATCTCCCCCTCTTCTCTCTCTCTTGTATCCCCCCCCTCTCTCTCCCCTCTCTCTCTCTCTCCCCTCTCTATCTCTCTCCCCCCTCTCTATTTCTCTCCCCTTCTCTCTCTCTCTCTCCTCTTCTCTCTCTTATCTCCCCTCTCTCTCTTTTCTCTCCCCCCTCTCTCTCTTCCCCTCTCTCCCCTCTCTCCCCCTCTATCTCTTTCCCCCATCTCTCTTCTTCTTCTCTCTCTCTCTCT